TTGCGGCATCCGTCTTCGGATCCTCGACAATTCGTGGGGTCTCGGGAGTATGCGTAACACGGGATATTACTGTCTTTCCCACGTGGCTGACTTCTATTCTTCTGCTGTCCTCCTCTCCCGCGATTTCCAGTCGGGGTCTGGGATAGGCCCTGCCCCTTTCGGCCCCTGTCCTTTGATCTACCTCTAGGGTTCTTATACTGGGCAGGGGCGGCACTGGACTTTCGCCCCGTTCTCGGCTGAGCCGGTGCGGCGTTCTTGGGCTTCTTGTGATTGAAGGGGCAGCCTTTTCCTGCATGCGGGCAAGTTTCGCCCTTAGTCAAGTATCTGCACGTGGTTTCGCCATTGGTTTTCCCGCTTTTCATGACATCCGAGGATTGCCCCAACTTAGTGGCAATCTCTGCCGGGGCGGCTTTACTGCCTGCGTTCCTCCGATGGTCACTGCCTCCGCCTCCGCCGAGTCGTGCTTGTCTGGCACGTTGGTTTATGGTTCCCTCATGCACGCTGATATTCCACTCTTCTTTTTCTCGCAGCATCATGTCTTCAATCTGCTCCATCAGCCACTCTTAAGTCTTGACGCCTTGTCCCTTTCTGTCTTTTGACACGTCGCATAACTTACATGCAAAATCCAGTCTGCTCGGCTTTCTGCATTGTTCAAGAAAGTGCGCATGAATCGAGGCCCTCATCTCATCGGACGGAGGCTTTGCGTCGTAAAGCTGTTGATACACGTCTGTCCATTCATTGTAGAAATGATACAGGTCAGCATCAGGCTTGTGCGGGTCTATCTTCACTTTGAAGAGGTCACGTGAAATGCGATGTTGTCCCAACTCCGACCTTACTGAACACCAGTGACAAATCGCCCGCACCATCTCGCGTCCAGTCATGAGCCTTCCCTCGGCCTGGGCGCTGGATTCCATTCGAGTAACCTGTTGAAGGAAATTAGTATGATGAGGAGGCTGATATCGACTCTTTCGCATCTGGTTGAATTTCTCGATAAGATTCGTTGCGATCATAAGGTCGAGACGCTGGAATCGTCCAGCATCTTTGAGTTGCTCATCCTCCACGGCTGGATCCATAGCCTCGGCAATCCAGTGCTGTGCTGCCTGGCTCTCGGGCGATGACCCAGCGATGGCGCGTATTGCGTGCATTTTCCACTCGCGAATGTTCGTAACATCAGGGATGTCCAACAAATCAATTTTCTGGTTGTAACCAACCTGTCTCCACTGATCTAACGGCGTGCTCTCGTCAATTGCTGTCGAGTCGTGCGGTCCGCCGGGGCCTTGAGGCCCCCTGCGTCCACCCCCGCCAGCAGAGGGGTCTGACCCCCCTGGACTCCCCGGAGGCGACCCTCGCGGTCCTCCACCACGATCATCTTCGTGCGAAGATACGATCTCAGTGTTGGGAGCGTCGCTCTTGTCGTCATCTTCTCCGCCCTGTCCTGCATTGCTGGACGACTTAGTCGCCGTCGTTCCCTTAGGACCATCTCCGTAGGTTGTGCGGAGATTGGCAAGAGCGTTATTTTCGTTAAGTCCAGTTAGCCTCATCCCTGCGCGGGGTCCATTTTCAGCGGCGCTCGGCTTAGCCGGACCTTCAAGGGCAAGTCCTTGGACAGAATAATGTTGATGCAACAGCGGCCCCACAGGGGTTTCTTGCGAAAACAACGGACATCCGAACGACTTCGATGTGAGTCCGACTTCACGTTTAGTTTCAGTATACGGATTCGGGTCGGCGAAGATAGCCTTTCCTAGCTCTCTGTTAGCCGCGTTCGATGCAATCTCTTCTTCTCGCATGTTAGCCGCTGGCCTTTCGCTCTTCCACGGGTCGCATCTAGAGCATCTCCTCGCACTCGCATCGGCATGTTCGCCGCCAGCCGAGCTGCCACATCCGACGCGATTGTCTGTCTTTGGACGAAAACAAACGGCACAACACTGGTCCACGGGGAGCGCGATTCCATTCCCATCGGGAGGAGGGCGCGCTGCACCTCCCACCATCATGGTCGACGCCCCCGCATTTGCCACGGCCATCTGATCGAATTGCGTAGGGGCAGATGCAATGTTCGACGACTGGGCCGTCGATAGCTGGTGTATGTTCGACCCGATCGGCTTAGCCGGCGGGCATTTAGTATTGCTCGACATTATACGCTGAAGAGACGATCTAGCTTCCTCATGCGATTTCAGTTCTTCCGGATAGAGATTGTTTTGGTTGGATATCTTCGCAGCTACAGCTTGGGTGTTGTCTGCTTCCAGCCTGGCGGCTTTGAGTTCTCCTTGTAACCCCTGCTTTTCTCGTTCCGCCACGGCTGTCGCAATTTGTTATCCTTCTATCTTGGCCGCCGCAACGGCAGCGGCAACCGCGTGGGCGCCCGCAGGTTCTTCATTCGCTATCATGACGGCCCGTCTGTCCGAAAACAATAATTCTCTGTGCCATTTCACGGCCTCAGTCTGATTGCGCAGATGTTCTATCAGCGCTGGTTCACGCTCTCTAGCGGCCATGGTTAGGGCGATCCGCTCAGCCTCAAACGTTTTCCTGGCTTCAGTCACAGTTTCAACTAATTCTTCTCTGTCCAGTCGAGCCCTTTCAGCCAGATGCGCCTCGTTAGTCAGAAACTCTCTCTGAATGTTAGCCTCTGCTTGCGTGGCCTGGTCTTGAATAGACTGCGAGAAGAGGTATGTGCACTTGTGCTCGCCCATTGGGTAGCACTCCGTGCATAGCCATTGCATGTTACACTTGTTGCACACGTCCGAGCAACTCCTGCACACTGGGTTCCTACATGCGCCTTCAAGCTTGTTGGCTTTTCCTGGGCATCTGTTCTCCGCCTGAGGCGCACGGCCAGGATTGGGGTTCCAACATGCCTCCATCATTGAAACTGTACTGTTGCTCCTAGAGGTAGACCTCGCCCCTGATCTCGGTATGTTGGGTCTTCCCCTGCTCGAAGCATTCGATCTGGGGCGAGTAAAAGTACTTTCTTGTGGTTGGGCGCATTGAAGAGCTCCCCATTCTTCTCGTCTTGTTTGATTAGCTGAGAATATATATATATATACATATACATATATATATATATCTTGTTGTCCGACCATTTCTTCGTCCCAACAACAGCCGGAATAGTGGGTTGCCACTCGCCCGAGGTGGTGGCATTACGGAAGAAGCCTTCCTTTAATGGCGAGACGTTTAGCTCATAGTCCTCATTCCGTTGCTTCTTGAGGTGAGGCGCGGGAGTTCGCCCAGTGGACTCCCTCTCATGTTTCGTTTGAGTATCTGCCCTGTCCGCCTGAAGCGCCAAGATACTAGTGTCTTCATCGGATCCATCTGGAGACCAACGTTTGTCTCGAGCAGGGATGCCTTCATCCATCATCACGGACAACACTCGGCTCAGGGAAATAGCATTATTGATACTATCAAAACTTTCTTCCATGGAATATAGTTCGTGATCTTTGTCTATCGGATCATCGCTATCCTGACCGAATTGTCCGTTAAGTGCTATAGGGGTTGGGGCAGTAACATGCGCACTCACCCAATCTACGGGGATATTGGGATACCCATTTGGATTCCCTTGGGCTTCCCCTGGCCGGCTGGTTTCGCCAGCGGCAACGACAGTAGTTTGTGGAGCATTCTGGATGGGACTTATCGACTCCGTTGAGTTGGCACTCAACCTTGAAGAGCATGCACCTCGCCTGGGCCTTGGCGTGACGCCTTCTCGCCCGTGAGGGTCGGGGGTTTGCTCACGATCACCTATCGGAGCCCCTACTGTGGATACGTCTACCGACATTTCGGTCATCCCATCAGTACTTCTCCCCCTCATGACCCGATCGGCGATCGCTGAAGGAGGGATTCGGTCTTGAATAGGACCGACTCTATATGCATCGTGTCCATCATGTTGCTCAACGCGCCCTTCAGCGCTTCTCGAGATATTAGACACGATATTAGTCTTAGCATAGCTCTCTCCCGCAGCGACTGAATCGCGGGGCACGACTGAACAATCTTCTTTTGTGTCCAATGGCCCCGCGTCGACTGAGTCGCGCGTTTCGGCTGATAACCAGTATTTCCTCTGAGAACCGGGGTAAAATGACAAAAAGATCTCATGTTCACTCTGCTCAGGGAGAGCGGGGGCGGATCAGACATTGATAAGACAGATATCCGTTAAGCTAAACCATTGTATCAGGAATAGGAACGGAGGAGGAAGGCCGAGGACGGACGACGACGAATCGCCCGCGCGCCCCAGCGCGCTCCTTTTCTCTCCTGCCAGCCGAGGTCGGCTGGTTTGAGCAGTTATACAGCTGCAGAAACGCAGCTTCAGTTCACGCGGACAGTTCACTGCATGCAATCTAAGATATGTTATAATTGAGTATGAGGCGGAGAGGAGCATATTTACTAAAATGCCAGACCTCAAAAATTCATAGGAACAGTGCGAGAGTAGTCCCAACTCAAATGCAGAGTCACTCGATGGAAGCACAGCCTGAGGCAACATGCGTACTGTCCTGTGATTTAGGAGGTGCTTGTCTAAAATCGGGACACACATGTCCACCACCTCAAAGAGTCGCCTGGAGCGTGTAGCAGCATAGCATAGCGCCTGGCCCCCAAGTGCTGAGAAACAGAGCAGATCAATGAACACATGCGCCCCTGCTGCCTGAACCCATGAGCTAATGACCCAAATTGGCCTGTCACCCTCCACGCCCCTACATCATGTGTGCGATAGGCTCACGGCGCGATGACGTCGGACTTGGCTTCCGACCACGCGCGGCCCTTATGCATCATCGATCGCGGCTTTCCGACAACAATGTCGGCCCGCGCTGGGCAGATGGCGGCGTTCATCCCTGAACGCCCGCGCTGGGGTCGTCGCCGCATCAACGTGGCGCGAACCTGCCATACGTCAGCGTCCTTGGGCAAATGACCTCCCTCCACTCCCGGAAACCATCCGGGGCACGGAGCAAGACCCCGAGGTTCCGTGGTCGCGTGCGCCACGGCGCCTGCGTCTGAGGCCCCCCCCCCCCACCTCCCTGGAGCGCCAGTCTGAAGACGCCGCGGCTATCTTCCCCCGCGAGGCTCGCCGCGATCGGCAGCGCGTAGACGATGGGGAACACCCTTCGAACAGGAGGGGGATAGCGGAGGTGGGAGGGAAGGGGAAGAACGGAGAGGGGGGAGGCGATTTGAGGGTGATGCTCAAGACTGTGTGACATCTGCCAGTCCCGGTCGCACGGCAACTTTGTGAGCATCGATATCTATCATGAGAGTCATCACTAGTATGATCCCCATTGCTCACATCACAATCACCCGATATTGCTTCATGGCCGCTACATATTTTTCTGTATTCCTCCTCATCCTGTTCATCCTTGTCCTTATGTTCCTCCTCGTCAGCATCATCATCATCATCATCATCATCATCATCATCATCATCATCATCATCATCATCATCATCATCATCATCATCATCATCACCTTCACCATCACCATCACCATCACCATCACCATCACCATCATCATCATCATCATCATCATCATCATCATCATCATCATCATCATCATCATCCACTGCGAAACCACGTTCTGAGGTACAACGTGCCTCACGGCGCCTGCTGGTGCCGCCCCCACCTTCTGCTGGAGAACTACCAGTTCGACGACCGCGAGTTCGGCCTGCGGCAACTGGTCCGACTACTACGCAACGCGAGCAACGTCTACGCGTGTACTACCTGTACACCCTGCCGTACTACGGGAAGAAACACAACCTGCACGCTGCGCTGATGGAGAAGTCACGGGCGAGTTGGCGCATCCCGAAGTCCTCGGACAAGTCTGGCAGTGGTGGCAGCAGAAGCTTGCCCAGCGGCGAACCGAAGGCGAAGGAAGCCAAGACGGGCGACAAGGGAAGGGCGGAGCTCGGCACCGAGCCGAGGACGACCAGCTGGACGAGGGCGAGGGCGGGATGCAAGAAGAGCCTCGGAGGCGTCGCCGAGGAGGCCGTCGCCGCAGGGGCCAGCTCACGGACAAATAGCGGACGGTGAAGGACACGAACGTCGCCGCACTCCTCCTGACGCTGTGCAAGCTGGTCCTGCAGGACACGCACCGCACCAAGGTGGCAATCGCCACGACGGTCGACACGATCATTCACCAATCAATGATTGCACTAAGGGGTCCCAGCGGAAATTGAAAGATTTGGCGGGAAATTCCCGCCGATTTTGGTGGCCGGCTGGGTTCCCGGGTTCGCGGTTCTGGGTTCCCGGTTTCGGTGGGATTCTGGTCAGATTTCGGTGGGTTCTGGGATCCCGGGTGCCCGGGTTCCCGGTCGATCTCCTCATCGATCTCTGTATCAATCCCATTTCAAGCCATCCACTGATTGGGCTTTCTCTGGTGCAATCTTCCCCACGACCCACCCGATCATCGTCGCGGTCGGGGACAAGGTCGGCGTCGGCGTCGGCGATGCATCGGCGACGTCGGCGTGGACAACAAATGGGCCCCACGTCGAGCCGCATCGCTGATGCATCGCCGATGCATCGGCGATGCGGCGCGATCCTCCGACCCCATCTGCTCCGACCCCATCTAAGAGGCCTAGACAATCGCCACGACGGTCGACACCATCATCTTCCCCACGGCCCACCCGATCATCGCCGCGGTCGGGGACAAGGTCGGCAGCTTCCGCAACCAGGCCGCGGCGGCGCAGGCAGGGCGTCCCCCTCGGCCGCCGCCGCCCTGAAGAGAACCTGGGCTCCCCGACCGCCGGCCCCTCACGGCGACCTTCCTTGCAGCGTTGGCGCAGCGCGACATCGGCGCCAAGATAAAGGGGGAAAGGGGGGGATAGCAAAGGGTAGGGTAGAGAATCAGCTCACGTGACTGATTTTCCCAGCGCCTCCCGGCGCCGGAAGGCGCCCATGCATCGAGGAATGGGCCCGGCGGCGGGGCCGAAACCAGCTGCATGCAGCAAATTTCGTACCCCTCCCTTTCCCTATCCGCCCCTTTCGTTCGGCCCGGAAGATGAAGGGGGCCCTGGAGCAGTGGCTGACGAAGATCAGCGGCTCCCACGGCGGCGGGATGGACGAGGTCCCTCCAGAACTTCAACGTGAGGACATCGAATAAGAAGTCTCCCTATTTACGCCTGGAGAAGTGCTACGAGGACACCGACACGAAGCTCATCATCGCGACGGGGACGTGGGAGCTGCGGCCCGTCGTGCTGGCGGCCATCAGGGACGAGGGAAAGGGGGATATTCACACCGGCGTAGACCCCCCAGGGTGGCTGGAGGAGGAGCTCTCGTGCTGGGTCGACGCCCTCTCGCACTAGATCTGAGCGGACCCGTTCGCTTTGTCAGATCGAGCTCTCTCCCTCTCTTCGCTGAGCCTCTCCCTCCGATCCGAGCCGTCTCCAGCAGCAGCAGTGCTTCTGATGTCCCTGAGGCGTCCGCTCCCAGAGCAATCGATCAGCAGTTTGATGACAAGCAGGCCGACGAAGAAGCAGCCCAGAGAATCATGAGCAGAGAAGACCCTCCAGGAAAACCAAGGGGTCCAGCTTCGTTGTGACTACGATCAAACGAGCCTAGCTCACACGCCCTGCTTGAATGCCGCTCGAGCCCCGCGTGAGCACCCGCGCTATGCGAGCTTAGCATCCCTGCTAGCCATGGGCCCGCAGATGCTCTGCTCCGATCTGTACACGACACTTTCCTGCACGAGCGATCTCGCCGAGTTCGGCGAGCTCTTGGAGCCCTGATGTGGTCGTATACATAATCGTCCTCTTCATTGTCGCCCCTCCTTGTCCTACTCCTGCTTTTGCGCCTGTTGATCCTTTTCCTCCTCCTCGCCGATTCGCCTGCTGCGGATCCTCCTGCGCTCCCGAGGGGCGAGTACAACCAGGAAGGGAAGGTAAGAGAAGGTAAGCGAGCAAAGCGCCGATCCCAAAGTGTGGCCAGCGCTGCAGCGGGAACACACTAATGTCGAAAGGCCGTAGACGTCCCAATCGAAACGCAGATGAAACTATCAACTCTGAAATCTGGTGTACGAAAGGTCATTCCGCGGGGGAGCTGGGGGCACCACTGCACACTTAAAAAGGGAGAGAGGCGAGGATCTCTAGAACCAAGCGCGCTCTTCGCGCGGCTTAAATGTAGAGTCTCGGACTTGAAGGTTCACCTGCACGCATGCGCGTGCACAGATACTTCGTGTATGAGCACAGGTCCATACTGTGCATGCGCACGCACACTTTTTAGCGCCGCGGCCCTGCGCGCAACGACAGGACGCAGAAGGTTGAAACGCAGAAACCGCGCGCGCGTCTGATCCACCCCGAACCCTCAGTGACCACTTTGCGCACACGCACGCACAGGCGCACTCACTTCGGAAGAACAACCGCGGTGGGTCACGCATGCAAGTCAGACGGGGGGGGCCACACGTGTGGGCCATGCTTGGGAACGCACACCTCCCCTACCCATCACCCGTCTTGGCACCAATTGTCATCATCATCGCCACCACCACCACCTCCGTCATCATTGTCAACATGACTACGACATCAGCACAACCGTCATTGCGGTGGACAGCAAAGTCATCGCCATCACCATCACCATCACCACCACCACCACCACCACCATCATCATCATCATCATCATCATCATCATCATCGTCATCATCAGTACCATCATCAGCATCACCATCATCATCGCAATCACCATCATCACAACCACCACCATCGTCATCATCATCACCATCATCATCATCAACATCATCATCATCATAGTCAGCATCCTCATCGCCATCATCATCACAATCACCCCAATCATAATCATCATCGTCATCGTCGTCATCGTCATCAGCATCATCATCAACATCAGCATCGTCATCAACGTCATCATCATCAGACGCAGCAGCATCATCAACCTCACCACCACCACAACCATCATCATCATCACCATCATCATAATCAGCATCATCATCATCACTATCACTATCACTATCACTATTATCACCATCACCATCACCATCACCATCACCATCACCATCACCATCACCATCACCATCACCATCACCACCACCACCACCACCACCACCACCACCACCACCACCATCATCATCATCATCATCATCATCATCATCATCATCATCAATCATCATCATCATCATCATCATCATCATCATCATCATCATCATCATCATCATCATCATCATCATCATCATCATCATCATCATCATCATCATCATCATCATCATCATCATCATCATCATCATCATCATCATCATCATCGTGACCATTTAACTCAATCGCACTTTCGCTCGGGGAGGCAGGTTATCAAGGCACACCCCGTGGGGGAAAAGTGAGGGACATTCTAAGGCACTGGAGCAGAGAGGGGCTCGTTTCGGACGTCTTGCGCGCCTCTTGGACAATCTTGAAATTCTTTCGGAACGTCTTAGGAGCCTTGCGGGCTGTTTTTGGCCGATCTGGGAGCCTCTTGGGCTGTCCTGGGCGGTCGGAAGGTCGGAAAGGCGAGAACACCAACATCCTTCACACCCAAAAGTGATATCAATAAATTGTGCGTTCCGGGGCCCTCGTGGAGTCATCATGGAACCATGTTGAGCCGTCTGAAAGAGATCTTCGACGATCAAGGAACGATCTTGGAACGCTCTGGGGGCGTCTTGCAGGCGTCTTGGGCCGTCTGGAGGCCACTGTGGTGCCCTTAGAGCGCTCTCGTGGGTGAAAGAGCCTCTCCAAAAGCGAAAACTGACTCTGGGGGGCTACTTTCGGTTCACAGGGGGTGCCCCCATTTGTCCAAGGGGGTGCGCCAGAGAGCCCAACACTCCAATATTGCATGTCTCTGGCATTCAGCACAACTTTACAGACGTGCTGAGCCTTAGCGTCCCTTCGCACACGCCAGATGCCTCCAGTGGGTCGCCAGGCCGAAGAGCCCCGCAGCGACTGGGTGGTTCCGCCGCAGGTGCAGGGCGACGAAGCAACCTAGGGTAGGAGACCTCCCCCTCCTCCTGGTCCGAACCTTGCCCCCCCCCCCCCCCCTCCGCAAACCAGCCATACGGATGGAGTACAAGG